GCGTGCTCCGCTGCTGGTGGCCTGGGTTCGGATCCCGGAGCGCACCAGTGCACTGCGTGTCAGGCCATGCTGTGGCGGCGTCCCACATAAAGTGGAGGAAGATCAGCCGGATGTTAGCCCAGCGCCAGTCTTCCTCAGCAAAAGAGGAGGATTGGCAGATGTTAGCTCAGGGCTGATCTTCCTCACAAAAAAAAAAAAAAAAGCACAAATTCCTGAGTGCCATCTGGATCTCTGAATCTGAATCTCTAAAAAAAAAAAAAAAAAAAAGATTTGCAATAGATGTTAGCCCAGGGCCAGTCTTCCTCAGCAAAAAGAAGAGGATTGGTATGGATGTTAGCTCAGGGCTGATCTTCCTCACAAAAAAAAAAAAAAAAGAAGTCAATGATATAAAACAGAAAGGTGGATACCGGATGGTGAAATCACTATCAGTTATATGGTCTCTGATTAATTTTTTCAGATGGAGAAACAAATATTCATCTATATTGAAGTTTGGCTGACAAAAATCTTTCAAAACATGAAATCTCTGTTTAAAAAAAAAAAAGGAAGACTTGGTAAACCAGGACAAAGGTGGGAACCACTGTGGTTATCCCACTACCATCAAAGAGGGTCAGGGAAGCCTGTTTACTAGTTCCAAACAGATCAGGGAACCGTCAGGCAATTTCCCTTAGCATTTCCTGAACCTCGGTAACATCCTCGTTCTTGAATTCTTGGTATTTTACAGTAAAGCTCCTTAAGCCTTGAGAAGGGCCATATGCTTATACAGGGGGCAGTGAAGACAAACGAGAGGAGAAGCTGTTGAGATACAGCTGCCCTCCTCCCCACAGTCGTCTGTGGGGGTGGAATGGCCCTGTTGGAGAGGCACCCAGAGGAGAAAAGGGGTGCTTGGCTGGCCTAGGACGTGCCCAGCAGGAGGCCTCATGCCCCGACCACTGACAAGGGAGGCCAGGGTTTAGACCTGTGCAATTGCACAGCAGTCTCCACCCGGCAGGCCCCTTCTCACCACAGACCCTTTCCCCTGTGGTCAGCAGGTGCCTGGGTACTCTGTGCCCCTCTACCAAGTTGAGCTTTCCAGGCTGAATTCAGGCATCTGCACCCAGGCTAGGAGTTAGAGATCATTTCCTTGGTTTACAGAGGAGGAAACTGAAGCTTAGTGAGGTCACGTGGGGAGGACAGGGCAGATCCCAGATCCCAGGCTGGACGTCTGACCCCAGGGCTGGGCTCTCTGCCCTCTGCGGCCCATCCTTTTCCCTTTCATTCCCTGAGCTCCAGCTGGGGCCCGGGTGAACGCCACGCAGTGTGCACTCTGCTGTTTTCTCCTTTCTTCCTGGGAGCGAGTTTAATCTCCTCAACAGCTAGGTGTGTGTAAGCCAGGGGCGGGGTCTCTACATATTTCTCAGGCCTGGAGGGTCAAGGCTCACAGCAGGCACTCGGGGAATCCGTGTCTATTGATCTGCCCTCCCCACCTCACTCTCCCCTCCACTCTGTCTGCTCTGCAGTGCACCGTCTTCTAAGTGTAAACCTTATCAACTCGGGAACCCACAGGAGTCAGCCAGAGCAGGGACGTGTACAAGAAGCAAGGCCAAGGTCCAAAGGAATTAACAGAGGGTTCTGTTCTGTACTCACGTCTCCTCTTTCCACTTCTCTCCATAGTCTCCCTCCTCAACCACCACCTAAAACAACCCAGCGAAACCAGTAACCCTCCTTCTCCATTGTGGGCATACTATTAATATATTAATGTATATTATATATAATCTTGTATATTATAGAATAGATTATAGCTTACATGTGGTATACAAACTCCCATGGGGTTTAGTAAAGGTGGTGGTAAACATATATTATGCGCCAAAACCCCGGCACAGAGGAGTCACAATGCCACGTGCAAATGAAGTTACAGGAAGAGACAACACGAAAGAATGTTTTCCATGGAGCTGACACTGCTGCTGTAAACAGAGGTCAGGATGTGCCATCATGTCGCCGTCCTCTAGGCTCAGGAATCGCTTGAGAGATGGGCTCCTCTCCACCACAACCGACTCAAGAACAGCGGCGCCAAGTGGACCTCTCCCAGGGAGCAGGCACGTCTGGGCAGTCTGCCTGGAAACACCCCCGGGGGAGGACGATGACAGGCACAGTCGCCCTAAAGCGGCAGCTCTCAGATATCAGCATGTGGCTGTCCACTTTGCAGATATTCAACGTCCCCCCACCCCTGCCCTGGGTCTGGTGCTCGTCACACACAGTTCAGAGTTCCCCCATACCCCTTGTTGTTGTATGGTGTGCAAAATCGTTTCTTATGAACCTTGACCAAAAATTCGGGAAATTAAACCAGTTGCAAAAAAACACGCATGTGATGAATTCCATGGCCAAGCAAAAGTGATTTGTGGGATCACCACTTTGAGTGTTGGAATCACTACCTTTGGTCCTTCTTGAGGGCCGAGTGTGAGTTACTTGCATACTATTATTTCAACTTGGAGTTGAAAAGACCCCTATGAGTCTTCTGACATAATGGTTTTCTAGTTTTATTTTAGTGGGAGGGACCTTTCTTCAAAGGAAATCTGACCTGGAAGCCAAGCCATAACTCAGGTTAACCCCAAGCTGTTGATATGAGGGACCTGTGGCCCTGCCCATGGGCTTGCTCCTCCCTCAAAAGCTCCTGGGAGCACGATGGGAAAACGAGGCAGCCATCCCCCTTATGAAGTTCTTCACTCACTCACTAACACGGCCTTTCTTAAGCACCTGCTATGTCCCAGGTGCTGGTGAGCCAGCAGGTCACGGGACAAGGGAAGGCCCTGCTGTCCCGAAGCTCCAGTGTGCTCGGACGGAGCAGGGAGACGTTCAGGCGGTGTGAGGGCTGTGAAGGAGTCAGAGCAGGGCGGTAGATGTGACTGTGGCCGGGAGGGGCTACTTTAGATAGGGATCTGGAAAGGCCTCTCTGAGGAGGTGAAACATGAGCTCAGAGCAGAACGATAATCTGGAAAGATGCCCTGATGCCCTGATTTTGACCAATGAGAAAGTAGACCCAAAGAGGTGAAACAACTTTTTCCAGGTCACACAGCGGGTAGGAAGCCAAGCTGATGCTTGACCCAAGGTTTCCAGGCTCCCTGGCCAGGGCTCTTTCCTTTCACAGTGTTTACTACATGCAAACAAGGCTCGGTGACAGGCGACATCCAAGGGCCCACCCACCACCAACCACGCCCTGGTGTTCAGGCTGGCTGTCACGACTCTTGACACCCTCCTTGCCCTCCTCAGCCATCACGGCCTGGGGGCTCTGCAACCCAGAAGACAGCACCCTAGAGTTGACATCCAGACCCGTGACCTGTGACCTCGGCTGGGAAAGCTTCCTCCTCTCCAATCTCCCTGGCCGCAAGCAGTGGAAAGTGCTCCTACTGCTTCCGCTGGTGGCGTGAAGATGACAGCAAGATGGCGGGTATAAAGCCCCCTGGCTCACCTGGAGGAAGGCTCTCTGGAAAGCCAAGCTGCTCCAGGGCTACGATTTAAAGACCAGCCACGCCAGGTTTCCTCTCATGTTGCAGAAGGTGTTCACACAAAAACTGCGGCACCACACAGGCCTTACACATCTCACACACCAGGAGTCCAAAGCCGGGCTCCAGGCAGACACTCCTAATATGCTGACTATCACGGAAGCAGCATGCAAATGGCTCCCTCTACTCCCACAAACAAAACGGCTCCAGGCCCCCAAGTGTTCCCCAAACCTCCGACTGGGCACTGCAGGCCCAGCATCTGCCCTTTGCTCTTACTGCTGTCAAAGCACTTCCCCAGGCATTAGCCAATTTGAGCCTCCAGCCACCTCATGAGGTAGGCAGGACAGCCATCATTAGTCCCATTTTGTATACAAAGCAACTGAGCCCCAGAGTGACCTGTGCTGGGAACACTGCTACTGACACAGCAACAACCACTAAGTCCCGATTCCAACTCAGGTCTCCAGACTCCAACTGCAGCTTCTTTCCACCATAATCCAGCTGCCCACAAATTAAACACACACTATCCACCTGACCTAATACCACCCTCATTCTCTCCCCCACCCTTCCACCCACATCCTATGCCCAAGAGTGTCCTAGGAGTTTGTCCAGAAGCTGCCTCTTCTCTCTACGGCACCCCTGCCTCACACTGTGTGCCGTGTGCTGGAGATCTCTGTAGAGGTTCCTGCACACTCAGCAACTCAGACCCAAGCTGAGATGCTCTCCTGCCCAACCCAACTGAGCCCTCCTCCCTTTCATATTCCAGCACATTCATGCATGTGAACACTGTAAACATCGCCAGTGAAAACAATACACCTTAGAAACTGCCACACCTTCCTTCTTTCCATACTGAACCAGCCAGCTGCACCTGCGAGAATGGGCAGGCCAACACAGGTGACAGGGCCTGCAGAGCTATGTTCCCACAAACACACAGATGTGCCCATGGGACTCGTGGACAACCCTGCACAGGCAGATAGACCGGCTGAGAACAGTCCTATTCATGCATGAGACACACCAGCTGCCAGCATTTAGCAAACCCTGTTTTGCAGGGGGTAGGGAGCCAAGGAGTGCACAATTCTAGCCAGGATCGCTCTGGACCTGTCGCCTCGGGCTTATGCGTAAGAGCCAGCTACTGGAATTCAGAGTGGACAAAGAGAATGACATTTTGGAGAGGGACAAACATGCACAGAGCACGCTGGACTGCACAAGACACTCAGAGGCCCAGAGCTCTGTCCCAGCACTCAAGTGCGGAAATCGGGATCTGGTTATGGACACAAACGCCGCGGACCCCATACAGACCTCCATCCGGCACACATCCATCCTGAGTGTCTGGAGGATTCCTGCCCCGCTCCTCATCCAGAGGCAGCTCGCCCCTGTCCGCTAGGGCCCCACCACCCTCAGCTCAGGGAAACGAGGGGGCGGGGGCGGTACGGGAGGTGGGGAAGCCGCGACAGAGCCCGCCTCGCTGGGACCCCCTCCTTCCCGCGCCCCCCGGACCTGGAGCGCTCTCCGCGCCCCCCTACTTACCCGGCCGTGGGCCGCGGCGCTCCGGACGCAGCGAGGGGACCGGAGGCTGGGAGGCGGAGCGGCAGCTGGCAGGCCCGCCCGGCCGCCCACTGCCCGCAGCACGGCGCGCTCTGCCCTCCCACCTGGAGGGGGTCAGGGTGCGGGCTGCCAGAGCAAGCTGGACTGCACCCAGTCCCGCGCCCGCGGGCACTTCCTGCCGCCCGGCCCTCCGCCCCGCCCCCTTCTCCGGCCGCCCACCCTCCCTCCTCGCCCCTCCAATTCTCAGGCTCCGCGCTCTCCCAGCCTGGCGCGCCGGCCTCGCCCAGACGGCCTGTGCAGGCCGCGTCTTTGTCTGGGAGTTTGCCTTTCTTCGATTCAGAGCACACAGAGCGAATTAAGTGGGAGTTAGGGGCAGCTGTGAGGTTGCCTGGGGGATCCTCGCGAGGAGGGGGGATGGACTGGGGGTCCGGGCGGCTTACAAACCTCCCCGTCTGCCCGTGGCCTCCTCTCCCCGCTCCCTCGGTCTCCCTGACCCCTAGGTTGCCCCCTCCCTGGTGGAGGGGAAATCCGCAGGGTCCTGGGTGATCACAGCCTCTCCTTCCCCTCCCCCTGTCCCCGCCCCACGTACACAAGGAAGTCTCCCGTCACTGCCCTGTCCCTCTGAGAGTCCTGTGGACCATCAGCTTTACATTTCCGGGGCCCGGGGAGAATCAAGATCTCTTCCCAGACAGAGCCCATCTGTGCACGTCCTGGCCGAGAACAGGTGCAAAGCTGCCTATAACTGGCTGTGTTCTCACTGCGGGCCATGCGTTATGTGTTATTTCCCGAAGCAACACAGGCTTATGCTTGTCCAACTATGTTCTTCTGAAACTTGACTGCGGTGAGACAGGTTACCCATTTACCAGGCTGCTGGGTCAGGGAAGCCATTGGAGGCAGGGAAGCTGACAGAGGCAGGGCACTGGAGGCACAGCCTTCTAAATCCCTGGCGGCTGCTGACAAAGAATTAGCAGAGGGCACATAAGGTGGGGCTCTCGGAAGGTGGTGATGCAGTAGTTCCTGTGAGAGGAGGACCCAAAATGGAGGGTGAACTCCAAGATGCAGCAGAGGGCATGTACAGAGCTTGCTGTGTGCCTTGTAGAAGGAGGGGCGGAGAGGGGGTCCCAAGAGAGAGGCCCACGGTGGTGCTGTGGGTGTAGAAGTGGGAGGAGGACCTGGAGTGGATGTGAAGCTGAGAGAAGATGAGCTGGAGGGAGAGTGTTGACAAGGTACAGAGGGCCAGCCTGAGGAGAGAACCCAGGTCCAAGGGGGAACACTGACACCATCCAGGAGGCTCAGCACAGTGCAGGGTGCCAGCATCGGGGAGAAGAGGGCATGTTCAGTAGGGGCCCACGCTCCAGGGACACCAGAGGAGGGTGCCCAGGAAAACAGAGGGAGACTTGGGAATGAGCACATCTTTGGGGACTCTTAGGAGAGTTGTTTCAGGGGTGGGGAGTATAAGCCAGATTGCTCCTCCTTGGGGGCATCTGGATCCAATCCGTTGATGCAGAGATACAAAGCCACGTCCCCTTGCTTCCATTCTGGAGGACACTGAGGGCTGTCCCAGCTCCAGAGCTTCCCCAGGGATCAGCTGAGGCCTCTGTGGAAACTGCATCTCAGTTCAAGTTCACTCTCTGCCCAATCCTATTGCCTCACTCTCTCACAGGTGTTGTTCCCAAGAGGACCTCCCAACAGACCTCCTACATGCAGTCTCCACACAGAGAGCATTCCTGGAAATTCCACCTAGACATAGGGCCATGAGAAAGGGAGAGTGACAGAGAAAATGTGGGATGATGGTAAAGACAGAAGGCCAGCATTAGGGAGTGAAGGCCAGCATTAGGGAGTGAAGGCCAAGCAATATGGTGGGAGAGAGGCCTCGCAAGCACGGAATATGGTGGCCTCTCCTTCTGACCTTCTTCCAGACGTCTAATGAAGACTTTGACCTCTAATGAAGACCTTGACCTCTAATGAAGCAGTTTTAAGAGACAGAGATTGTCAGAAAAAGTCAGAGAAGGTGGTGTTAAAAGAAAAGACTGAGAAATGGGGAGCCAGAGGAGAATAATTCATAGTAGAATAGGGGTTTTCAAAAGACAGGCAGAGGAGAGAAGAATAGAGCAGGCCTGAGGAGGGAGAAGAATGCCCAGGTGGGGTAAGGTTGTGGGGATGTGCCTGTTCACTCAAGTTAGCAATATTAAAACAGTAATTAGGAAAGAGAGGGTTGGAAAATGTTCTGGAGGGACCTTCTAGCAATATGAGAGGGCAAGTGATAAATGAACCTCTGGACCAGCACATCCCCTCTCCAGCACTATCTCTAGTAACATTAAACATCTACAGTAGCAAACCAATGGAAATATTATATGCAATCTAAAATTTCCCAGTAGCCAAATTTAAAAAAAAAATGTAAAAAAAGAAAAAGGTGAAATTAATTTTAATGATACATTTTATTTAACACAGTATATCTACAATATGATCATTTTAACATACATCAATATAAGAAATTATTTCTGAGATATTTTACATTTTCTTCCTACTAAGTCTTCCAACTCTGGTGTGTATTTTACACTCACAGCACATCTGAGTTCAGATACTAAATTTTCATTGGAAATACCTGATCTGTATTTAGATTTCATAACATTTATGGTTGAAGAAGTAGATTTACAAACCTAAGTTGCTCCATATATACTTACGCTTTTCAATAACAAAATCTAATGATCAATTTTTAAATTGAAGTTTATGTCCCTTAAAATTAATTGAAATAAAAAATTAGTCGTTCAGTTGCACTTAGCCCATCTCAGGTGCTCAGTAGCCACATGTGGCCGTGGCTACCGAGGCACACCACACAGGTTGAGAATAAGAATTCCTAGACTTGTGGATTTGGTCTTTGTTTTGTTCTCACCTTCTGTGAAAGAATGGACCCCTTGCCCCCCATCAAGTGCTGCTCCACTAACAAGATTCTGATCCGTTCCATTTTATTTCACAGGACACACTTGAAGAAGATGAGGGAGAAGGGTGAGAATCCAGCATCTGTTGGACTAGATGAGGAGTGAGGAAAGTGAGACATGAGTCGGAAGTATTCCGTTCTGATCCTTATTCTGTGTCCTCGTGAGGAATGCTGGGGTTTCTCTGTCAAGTTGGGTCCTCCAGAGGTTGAACTGGTAGTGCACAGGACAGCTCTTGTTGATCATCTCCCATGTCGGCAGTTTCCCTTGAGCCCTGAGCACTGGCTTTAATAATAGACACTTGACTGTGGCTGCTAGGTCCGGGCCTCATTTCCTGCATCTGCAAAATGGGGAGAATAGCCCCTTATTTGGGGAAAAAATGGGAGGGACAGGTGAAATCCCAGGTATGAAGCTACCATGAAGGAGTTTTAGTCCCAGATTTGCAGACCTGTGCTCCTCATCCAGGCCTGTAGCACGTCTTCTGCCCCTGGCTGGGGGCCGGCAGCTTCTGCTCTCAGTGCGCACTCTGGCACCACCTGCCTGCCTTACGTCTGATGGAGGGATCCATCGTGGGATGCTGGAGTGATGCAAGTTGTAGAGACGCCTTTAGAGATGTAAAAAGAATAACAGTAACCGACTTCTTTCCTTTGTTCTAAAATGGCCTACATCTATTACTTGGAGGTACAGGGTAGATCTTGTGGGACTCCCTCCACCCCAGCACAGGGCCTGATATCCTTGCTTCCCAGCAATAGTATCTATATTCATTCCTAGAAATGGAGTCACAAAAATACCATTTTTATGTGTGGATGGTTACACCGCCCCCCGCCCACCCCATGACACTGAAGAGGATGATCTGGTGGTGTTGGCGTTTCCAGGATATATGGCACATTAGCTTAGCATTCACGTTGTACCATAAACCCTCACAGGTCAGGAATTGTAAAACTTGGAGCACCAGCCTGTCTTTCAAAACAATTTCCAGTCGCAACCTAGGAGGGCTGCAAGGCAATGAAGCTTCCCTTGACAACCTCTACTCCTGCCTCCCTGACAGTCCTGCTCCGTTAAGTTGCCCTGATAAGAACTCTATATAGACTCTGAGAGGCACTCCCAAGAAAACCAGCTATGTTCTTGGAAGCAGAAACACCCAGGTGGAAAGCATTCCCTCTGCTTACACCTCACACAGCTTGTCTGACTCAGCCTGTTTCCCCATCTTTAAAATGGGGAGTAACTCCTTCTGAGGTTCTACCCTCTTAGAGAGGGGAAGCTGGCCTTGGTTTCTTCATCCACGTGAAAAGTAGAGCTAAATAGCCTCTGGTCAGCACCCTTCCCTGTCCCGGAAGGACTGGGAGTGACCTGGTGTGAACTATTGATCAGTTTAAATTGGCTGGAATTCAACCTACATTTCACTACGAACTTAATGACTGTTCATTTTTGCAACAATACCTGGTGCTTAACAGGAGGTGGTAAAGAAATGCTGGTGGCATCGAACCCCACAATCTCAGTATAGTTCCCATGAGAGAGATGTTACACCAGCAGTAGGAGTTTTTCAACTGTTGTGAGGCATACTTCCAATGACACCAAGAACTAATTAGTGCTTGAAAAAATTACTGATCTTCATTAACAGTGTCAGAAGCATTGCTCAGATGTCCAATTGCTTGTCATGCTCTCTTGGCATTCTGCATGAAGGATTTTACAGTCTGGTTCTTTCCCAGGAGAACATTAAGGCAAAACATAGAAAAACACATTTAGGGTGCAGAAAACATAAAACAGCTGAGCAAATATATAAATAACATGCAAAATGACACAAATATTTACAGCTGGAATTTTTTGGTGTGTGTAGCACACACTGCTAATCCTCTCTCATCTTCTCTAAGAAGTTTTCTAGAGCCTGCTTCTATAACTCTGCATAGGCTCTCCCAAGGGTCCAAGGTCACATGCCAGGGAGGAAGATAAGCCTCTGGATAAACACAGTGAATTTTCCTGGAGTATCTATGTTATTTAAGATTTATTTTTTGGGATAACGTTTTTAATATTTTCAAAAGTATAACATCTGTCTATACTCATTGTAGAAAATTTAATCAATATAGAAGATTAAAGAAGAAGTAAAATCACCCGAAATCTTAGCTATCAGAGATAATCAG